GATCCACTAATTTTTAACGTTCATATAAAAGTCTAAGGGTCAGAGATTTAAAGCCACAGGCGGCTAAGTATTGGGTCAATTCGGCGGCCACCTGCGGTTATGATTTTTTGAAAGCTGTTCCTATTTTTATACAACAGTATCTTCAGCGTCCTATACCTTACTTCCTATCTGTTGCTTCATTATTATTTCAAATTTGTGCATCTAATCCAGTAAATTAGCTACAGCAGCAATTAATTAATCGTTTGTGTCTGCACTATGCTATTGCTGTTATTAAGTCAAAGAATGTACGGACCAGTATATTATATTAATTGTAACAGTCGATAGGGTAATTTGCACCTATCTCACATCTACTTTGGCGTGCACTTTGATATTTATTCATCAACGACTATCATGCTTGATTATAATAAAGCAGACATCATACCTACAAGTGTATCTACGTACTATATAAGCTATAGACTGTTGCAACTGAGTATACAGTAATATTATAGTAATATTATTGTATAAAATATAAATTAATGAACAATTGTAAGCCTACTTCATGGGCTTTATTTTATTACTTATTGCATGATGTAGTCACTTAGTGACCTAGTTAAAATCATAACTAACGTAAACGTTCCGTTGCATTAATCGCTATTTCAACTAAACAGCTTGTATATACTATAAATTATATTGCTAATATAATCTGTTTCGTGCAACTTACCGAATGACTAATGTTTATTAATGTAATGAGGGTTTAGATTTGCGAATTTTAAAAATAATTTTTACGACTGCAACGTAACGTACGTACGCTATCTTAAAATAAAAAATTTCTCATTAATTAATCTATAAATCATGGACTACCGGAACATATATCTTCTACATAATATATTTTTGTGAATTTTTTCTGGTAATTCATAATCTAAATGGAGATCCATAGAGTGCGTCATTTCCGATATTTATGTAATTCTCATGATAGTACAGTATCGTAACAGTTGCATAAAAAAAGTACTACGAATCCGTTCTAAATCACGACTGTGCTTTACCCAATGTATAGCGTTCATATATACTTTATAACGCTATAAATTAGTGTCATAGAAGTCCGTACATGTAGTATACAGTATAGTCCTAAAATAATAGTGTAGTACCCACTTGCGTATAGCTTCTTTCTTGATTTGTTGAATACAGCAGTAAAGTTGCCAAGTCACTGAACGACTATTTACCTATTAAATTATCTATTTATTTATATTTCATTTCTACATTTGCATACAGCCTGGTATAGTTTATGAAATCAGTACATCGGGACTAATATATTGTATGCTATGTGAGTATCATACAAACTTTAATGTCATTGTAGTAGCTATATACTGCACTGCAAGTAAAAATCCGCATAGAATATATCTTCGCTCAATAACCTAGTTAATATTTTGAGAATTTCTTTTACGTAACAATTATGAGAACGAATAAAGTATCGGAAAATGAAATAGCAGAATATGTACAAAGAAAAGGTGAGTGCTTTTGTTTCTAACAAATAGATTAACGAGTCATAAATCTAGCTAGGAGTTGATACGATAGTAATTACTCGTATAATTATTGAAATTAGCACTTCTAAAATAATATTGTACTGGAATTTTCTAGAGATCTTCGTCATTAAGCGAATCCTCGGGCAACTACGGTAACCAAGGACTTTTAACAATTTCGTTTACTGTAATTTTATGGTATAAATTGAAATTTAAGACTTTTAGAATTATATCTAGTAGTTGGATACTATAAAACTTCAATTATTCCCTAATAATATTACAATAATAAGAAATCTTCTATGATTTTATTATAACTTAAAAGAGTACCTATTCAGTGAATTACAGTTTCCAATAATGTTAGAGTATCTGCTACTATTTAGCTACTCTGTTTAGATTAAGATAATAATTTAGGCAATCGATGTAATAACGTAATATTTTCTTTAGCATGAAGAAATGAACTACTTTCGTTCAACCTGTGCATATTAAGATGGTAGGGTATTTCTCTTTAATTAATTTATATATGGATCATTATCTTTAGGACAATCATTAATTTCTTGAAATTACTTTTAATTCATTTTATTGCCCATCTGCATTTGATGTAGTTTTTAATTTGATAATAGAGATTTCCTGAAATTTTTGTATATTTCAAACGTTTCTTGAGGCTTTTCTAAGTGTGGATAGTGACCTGCTTGATCTAGCTCTGCAATAGAGTCCTCCGATACCTTTCGCCTAATGATTTTCATGAGAGGAATTGAAAATATTAAATAATGAATGTTTATAGCTGATTAGAAACTCGCAAGCTAATATATACATATTAATCTCAGTAAAGCTAAGTTACAACTAGCAAGTGGTATGCTAGAAGAAAGCTGACTCATTACACGATGATTATTACTAGTAGCTAGGCAAAAGCAAGCAACTACATTTATACTTACTTCCAAGTATCGATAATGGTTTTACTGATATGTGAATCAGCCATACCAAAAATAAAATACCCTAATAAATTTAAAGGTATGATTTTATAACCATGTATTACAGCGAAGATAAAGTCACTGAGTTTATAATAATATGCACTTGATATTGATAGGTAATAACAATAAATAGGATCAAAGAGCGGATAAAGAGCTCTTAGTAATGCTAAAAATTGATCGATCACGCTTATTGTGTAGACTTTACGCACTTGGTACATTCGTTTCTTGAAGAGTTTTTGCATGTCTATTTGCTTGATTTATACGATCCACCGTATAGTAAACAAATTTATTAATTATTGCATTTCCATTATTCCAGCAAAAAATTGCCCATGTATCTTTTAGTTCGCTTTGACTGGGCTTACTAGTTGGTCCATAAAACTTGAAAATAGTATTAGCAAATAAATGGAAGCCATACACATAACGAGCAATAAAAGCACCTTGAATTAAAAATAATAAATTGCAGATGACTTTTAGAAATTACGTTAATAAATGATTAATTAAAACCGTTAAGTGGTAAATACGCGTGATAGAATCGTATAATAAATACGTGAATAGCTTACCAACATAGGGCAACAATATTATTTTTTCTATTGGCATTATGTAGGTGTCTTCAACTATTACACGACCATTTAAGACACATAAACTATTAATGTTAAGATTTTGAGCGCTACCGCTTGTCTTACTTCTTTTTCGATCTTCGTATCTGTAAATGATGGAAATTTGAAGACTTACGTAAGATTATTTAGCATAAATTTCCGTTCAAGACTTTTAAGTTATGGATTTTCGCAGATAGAAATATATATGTATTCCATCGCTTGATCATTATCATACTCGTAGATTAAAATAAGATATGTGATAGGTTAAAATGCTACTATATGACCTTGTTAATAATTCCATAGCTACATTAGCACCCATGTCGCTTGCAAAGATATGAACGTCTTGTATACCAAGCTCATACATCATATGCTCATATAAATCGGCATGAAATGCTAGATCATAGGTAGTATTATTTGGCTTATCACTGAAACCGCAGCCAAGCATGTCTACAGAAACAACCCGTCGATTGATTGTTTTCAATTGGCTACAGATTCTTCGCCAATCATAGGAACTTTGAGTAAAACCATGAATTAATAGAATTGCATCATTATCTCGCCGACCTTCCTCATCTAAAATTGTAAATGGACAGCATTAGAAGCGTACGTTATAATTGGTACTTACAGTGCTTAGAATGGGTGTTATTTCAATTTACATAACATTACATTTATTATTGTCGATCAAGATTGTACTATAGTGTATAACCTATAAGTTATGATTACCTCTATAGTATACTTTGCAATCGCGAAACATTTTATAAGAACCATTAGCTCTCCATTTCTCAATTTTAGAGGAGAGTCTTGGAACAGGATAAAATGCATAAATAGCAGCGAAACCAGCTCCGGCCAATGCAAGGGCTGAAGCAAAAGTCTGCATGTTTCGAGACTGTTGGGCATTCAAATTGACATTCGTTATTAGCCTTCAATTGGTATTTTTTACAGGATTAACACACATTATCATTTACAATTGTAAATAATATTACTGTAGATAATTTATCAGAAACATGAAAACGATACGTTTTTGGTTAGGTGCCCTATTAGTAGTATCTTAGTGACTCTAACAGTGTTGACATTGATGGAAATACGTAGACAAGAGAACTATTTTAGCTGATTGTGCTAAATTATGTTATGAAAGCTAATTAATTAAGTTACTTAATATAAAACATTTAAGGACCAGATCAAGTGTACACTGCACAGCGTACAGTATTCAACTTAGTAAATATCGAAATTACATGCATTTCCTCCTCGTGAATACAATCGTGATATGATAATCTTACAGCATGGTTAAAACTATTGTATTTGCAATTTAAAAGTCCACTTGATATTATTACTACAGTTAATGCGTTTTCTCCTATAAACCGTGGTACAGTCGCTTGTTTATATTTATTATTATTGGCAGCCTTGCTTACAAAGATGTTTGACCAAGTTGCAAGAATCATTTAGAAATGAATGGCTTTCTTAATCGTTCTGAAAATTTAAACCACAACAGGTGCAAGATGCTATTGGAGGCCAATTTTGGTGTTGTAGAAGAGGTCAATAGGCAGAAGATGAACTAAAGTATTCCTTTCATCAAGAAAAGTATAGGAGCGACACAGTCGACAATGTTGTTTTATTTTATTTACGCAAGCAATTTATCAAAGTCTAAGGGTCAGGATTTCTAACCGTAGGAGGCTAAGAGCATCCAGCATAATCAAACATTCTACAGTCAAATGTTGACTTTACTGTGCGGCCTAGACGATGCAGATTGATGCAAGATAATTTGAATTCAGTATAGATTTACAGCTGTTAATACTTAATAGCATGTAGGTGATGTCGTCTGCTTGCATCATCAAGTAGTCTGCATGTAAACACCGTACTGGATATCAAGATGGCGAATTCATTTGAGAGGTGTTTATCAACCTACCACCAGTACTGTGATTTCTATACTGAAATCGGGGTAAGGGTGATATTTTTTCTTTCGTAGTTCCTGTAGTCACTCCACTCATGCTCCATTGCTGTCTGGTGAAGTCTTTGAAAGATTGCAAACTACCTTACTGATGAACTGTAGTACAGCACCATATATGATGATATATCTCCCGATATGAAGACGTCGTGTCGAGGATGAGATCGACATATTTTTATAGACTAACTTACACGGACCTTTTTGAATATTGTAACAAAAGCAGCTTTTTATCTTCCGTTTTGGTAGGTTGAGCTTTATTGGGGATTTAGTCAACTTATACAGAATAAGATATAGTCTGGCGCATTTCAATACTGTCGACAATTTCAGTTCATTACTCGCGTAATAATAATTATTATTAGGGAAAATTTATTATTATCGACTGGATGCTCCCACTGCTGTCTAGTGAAGTCCAACAAAAACGCCTTCTTCTACAGTGTATAGTGTACAGTACAGTGTACTATACACTGTACGCTACCGTACTGTAGCGTGCTGTGTGTATGTCGGTTGTTTAGTAACAGCGGCAAAACAACCAACCACTTCAGTTTGAAAACATGCACTTGTTGGCGATAGGTAGAGTGCGCATGGAGGCATTTACGTATTGGGCTTTCTATCACTACTTTCGACAACAAGTGGAATCGTACTACTGCAAGAAAAACGTTGGAAACGTATTGTAATCCACAGCACTATCCTACGGTCGAGAGGCTGTTCTACTCTATCGCACCGTAGGCAGTCCACGGTAATACGCGCTACATAACCGAATTTAAAATTAAACCTAATAATTTTTAATAAATTTGGCAAAGTGATCTTCTATATTGATAATTTTCCCTTAAAATTATTCAATTTGGATTGGAAGAATCAATCGTGCATTGGGTTGCAACTCTTTCCAACCTCTTCATCATCTGGAATATTGGGTATAGAACCGTAGATCCGTTCAAATTTATTAGAATATTATACCATCTACGGGAATATACTCTACATAACCGAATTTGAAATTAAAATTATTCAATTTGGATTGGAAGAATCAATCGCGCATTGGGTTGCAACTCTTTCCAACCTCTTCCAGCATCATCCACAATATTGGGTATACAAGTGTAGATCAGTAAATCGCTGATTGCAGTGTTATCAATTGATTTCATTACCAGAAAATTAACCAAGATGTCTACAAGTCGAGCCAGCCAAGTAAGTAGAAAGAGGAATATCAATACTGTGTAGAAGGAATGACATCGATGCGACATTTCTACTCAATGGTATACAGGATCTATGTTAGTGCAAGTCAAATACTGTACATGTACAACATGCAATTTTAATTACAATTATACTTTTAATGTATTCCATCTATGCATGATCAACTATTATAGAATGAAAGAAGAGTTTCTGTTATACTGTAGGTTAAGCAAGTGATGTTATCAGTAATAATAATAATTTTACTGTACTATACGACTGTAGTGACCGTCTAAAACCGATGATTGTACCAAGTAGTTATTCGCGTCGGGTATAGAGTATGGTTCATCCAGATGAAACTTCACTTGACAAGTAATCAAGATGAACAAGATTATTGATGATTTTATCGAATGATTCTTCCATTCAATTAGAATTTAAACAAGAAGATACCTAGGAATCCTAGATATGAACATGTTAAAAGAACCGTCGATACAGGTAGAAATGAATTCATCATTGTTGACGTTAACTTAACCAAACGGACTACAGTATAGTTTATGTAAAGTGGCGTAGCCCTACTTGATTGCAATTGAAACGTCAGACCATCCTTATTTTCAAGACACAAATCTTATACAACACAAAATTATCCACTCTTCAATTGAATTATCCCTTTGAAAATCTTTTTCCTATCAATGGAGTCTTGTATAGCCTAGAATTAATATACCCTACTGTATTGTATGTACTACGGTTAAAATCAAAATTCGTTTGCTGTAATAACACGTATAACGGTAGACTGTCAATACAAGATGTTGCTACATGGCAAGTAACGCCTCCTAAAATATCTAAAGCAAATATAATGTCTCAACAAATTTTATTGATTTTATTGTATAGGTGCAAGTGTCACTAATTATGCCGAAAAAATGGAAGAGTTAAATAAAAGTAAGTAATAGTAAGAAATGATGTGACTTATTTGATTTTCAACAAGTTAATTATTGTAATAGACTATGAATGGAGTGATCACCTGAAACATTATTATGACATGATTGATGCAATGATTTCACGTGAAATCATTTACATCGTACAGGCTATACTGTTGTGTAATATACCTCTATACAGTACGATGGATAAATAATTAATTAAATCACTCTCTGTATAATTGTAGTAGATAGAAATTACAGAACAATTGGATAATGTAAAATAAAGGTTGATACCGTTGAAGAATTTTAACCGGAAAGTTAGAAATTAAAATAGTGAATTCCTCTCAAATGTCCTACTATTGCATAATCATTCCTATTTACAGTTGATATTATTGTCATACTTTAACAAAATCGCCCATACCATAACTTCAGGAATATCAAAGTGTTTTCTATAATATAGATGTTGATGTGGGAAATGCCGGTAGTAATTACGCCTTATTACACGGGTATATTAATGCTCAGTTAATTGATATAAACTAGACTACAAGTACAGAAAAGATGAAATTTTTAGAAGGATGAAATGTACCACTTTTGTACAGCTGGTAAATACTCTAATCTTTTTAAATTGCATATCTAGTTTAAAACTTGTATGACAATGATCATGCCATCATTTTAAAATCTCTGATTAGCTAAATTTCGTATCACCATTTCCATCGTCTCTAGTTACTTCAAGTAGCTGATCTTGCCCAACAAGAAGAAATTGCTGGTAGGTCCCTTCCTTCCGTACATTTTATCATTTATTATTTCTTCCATGTAGCAATGTCATACTCATAAATCGAAATTGTTTATTGGAATTAACCAATCTAAGCGGCACTTGCTATTGCATTATATTTTAGCCATGGAAGCTGATGCAGTACGAAATTCCAGATTAGATAATGAAGCCGTTGCTAATAGATCCGATCAATCTTTAGAGGAGGACGATGCTCTCGACACCAGCCGGTCAACGTTGCAGGGGTAATAATTTACGAACATAAAGTTAGCTATACCTGACGTAATCACTGATCATTTTTTACTGTCCTTTTTGACAGTGTCATTAAAGGATTCGGCGAAGTAGATATACAAGAAATAAAGTCAACACCGGAAAACAACACACAGAAACCAATTGTGAAATCGCCTATCACAAATCCTTACGGTGTAGACGATTCTTCCCCATTTCTTTTGCTTGACGTTCGCAATCCAGACTCTTTTAGACTTTGTCATATAGTTGGAGGTATGATGCTTATGTAGGCTTAAGCTTAGTTTACAGCTATTGATGTTATCCTATCTGCTCTTATCAAATTTAATCTATTGTATTTTTATTAGCAAAAAACTATCCAACGACCTTGCTATCGAGATCATGCAACTATTTTTCCAAAGAAATTTTAGTTTATGTATCCTAAGCATACATTCAGATTGATATTACTCTCATTAAGTTGCCCATTGAATACAGTTGTACTATCTTTTGCATATAATTTTCTTAACAAAGATGCTACTCTAGAAAAACAAACCTGGTAAAATTATAATCTTGTATGACGAAGATGAAACCGTTGCTCCTCAAACTGCTACCACATTTGTACAACGAGAAGTAGACAATGTTTTTATACTATCAGGAGGTTTGTCTTCACTTTAAATTATCAATTTTTGTTGCACATTTTCATTATATTATAATTGTCCATTTTTTGAATATATTCAGGAATGAAAGTGCTGTATAAAAAATTTCCTGAAGGGATGATCCGAGGAACATTGCCAGCGTCATGTCAACCTTCTCCGCCAACAGAAAGAAGAGCTAAGAAAACTTCTTCTAGCAAATCCTCAGCAAAACCTGGGTCAGCAGGCATGATTAAGGCTGCCATGCAGTCAGTCGTTAAACTTAGGCCAATTATTCCAGGAGAGCAAGAAATATTGACTGCTGATGATATCTTTTCATAACAACTAATTTCTAGCGTAATTCTTGAATTTAAGCGATATACGACATATAGTGATGTATATATATATATATACTGCATGATGCTATACCGTGACGGACAATGTAGGTGTTAAATTAATGTTATTCTCCTATTGCATGAATGTTTATCACGTTCTAGTAAGTTTTGTAAATTAAACTGGTTTTTCCTTAATCATAACTACATGCTGAAATTATTCGAGAAGTTCTTGATGTTCACTTATTCGAAGAAGCAAAGACCCAAAGTATGTCTGAGCTATAACTTGAATATTTTATCTTTTGCAAATTTCTAACGATTATTAATATGCAATACACTCTAAAAGGTCGGTTATCTAGTGTACAAACTTCAAGATCATCGAGTATTATGACAAGTCGATCAGCTGCTAGTTCCGCCTCTGGTATGCATTCTAAGCCGTGGAAGTGATCGTTACATGCAACCCCGCGAGATATCTAAAAGATTTTTTATTATGTTAGAACATATAAGTATAACTGAATACGATTATGGCTTCTAATATTGAGGAGCATAATAATTTTTGTTATCCCTCACTTCATTTCTAAAGCATTACATATGTATTCGTACTGTAAGATACTGCACTATATTTCATGATGGTCGATACTGTATTCCACCTGAAATGTCATTATTGTAGTTGATCGTAAGACGTCAAGATACTATATTTTTAATCTATGTTATTCATTGCGATATGTCTACGTAACTGTTGGTTTCAAGAAACTCTAGACGTTAAAGTTTTTAATCAAATATACCAATAGTATTTTAAGATACTGCGATGCTTATACCTTTACTAAGCTAAAAATGTAAAAGTAAACCGTATCATGACATTAATATCTTTATGAGTTCGTATATATAAAAAATATAGCATGGAGTCAGGATGAAAATTTTGAATATTAGATGCTTCTACTCTAATAATACTCTATCCAATTGGATACACAATAATGTGGTATCACAACATGAAAATATTCTATTTACAAATAAATGTTTTAATACTCCTACTACTTCAGTTATTGGTAGGTACTAAAGCTATTCTAAAATAAATTCGCTCCCAAAAATTAGTTAAATCTTCTACAATCAAAGGGATATTATTTTTCCACGATAATATTTTTATTGCTACCGGATGATCTACTAAAATTTTAATTAGACTAGAAGAAGAGAAGCTACTCTACATAGGTAGTAAAGCCGCTTCAATGGTAGTACATATTGATGAGAATTCTTTGCCTATCGATATGTCGAACATATCATTGAAATAAAATTGCATTTAGTAGATAAGCAGTATAAAATATTGCAGATGTCTAAAAACCAGGTGATTCGTGAACGTATACTAAGAATCTCGAAAACTCTTAATTTCCGGTATACATTGGCTTTCTTTTTTCTGAAAAGGCCTTCAATCCTTCTATACGATCTTTCGTCGGAATAACCTGCAGTATAAGAGAATATATCAATTTAGAGTAGTCACATTAAATTGATACCTCTAAAGTATCTATAGTTTGATTGATAATTTACTTGAGCATAGTATGATTCTTCCAATGCAAGGCCAGTCGCTATATCTGTCTGTATTAATTTAAATTGTATTTAGTGATTAATGATTCGTTAATGGAAAGTTTAGGTTCAGATAAAAATGAGAAAATTACGTCAAGATTAAGTAAATTAGATTATTAACTTACTTCTATGCCACCATTAATTGCGGCTTTAGCCATCCTCACAGCTAAGGGTCCCTATAGTATATTTATTATAGTAAGACATAATTTCCTTTAGTGTGAAGAGGTCACTGCTTCTTAACTGAATGCCTTTATAACAACCTGTGGCAAAATTTGTTCAGCCAATGATACAGCAGCATGATAAGCTGCATCGCCTTCTACAGATTGCTCGACAGCTTCTTCTACTAAACCTATTTTTGCAGCTTCATGTCCATTAAGAATTTTAGCGGAGAAAATTAACCGCTTCGCTTGTGCAATTCCTACAATTCGTGTTAAACGTTGTGTACCACCGGCACCAGGAATAATTGCCAACTTTGTTTCAACGAGACCTAACTTAGCATTTGAGGCTATTGAATATAGCAAGTTTATAATGTAGTTAGATTGCTATAATATTGACACACTGCAGATAATATTATACAGACTTATTTGCTACAGCAGGTCTTCATCTTAATAAATGCAATGGTACAAATAAATAATCTAATGGATCGTATTGTATAAGATCTACTCGCATATACAAGTATACCTGCTAATCTAAAATCACATGCAAGAGCAATTTCCAACCCTCCACCTAATGCAGCTCCATCTAATGCAGCAATTGTTGGCATTGGTAAAGCAGCAATACCAGATAATAAAGCTCGAAGACCAGATACGAAAGGTCCAACTTCTTCAGGCGGCATTTGCAATCGTTCTTTTAAATCTGCACCGGCACAAAAGATATTAGGTACAGCACTTCTGAGAATGACTACTCGGACGGATTTGTCATGCTTCACAGCTTCTATTGATTCTCGAAACTAAAAGACAAAAAAGTAGACATAACAAAACTGATTTGGCAGATTACAGTAGATGTTAACTTTGTCCTTTAGCAATACACTTCAAGGAAATTCAGCATGCAGCGAGTATAAGATGAAGTGATCTGAAGGGCAGTATGGAATTGCGTAATAAATTACAATATCAAAATTTAACCGTAAAAGAGTTATTGAAATATCAGACCACTACATTCAGTCTTGTCAGTCAATGACAGCGATTTGAAAAATCTGCACATGCATTGATTACAGCTTTTAGATCGCAGAGATAATACAAAACGAAGGAGTATTTTGGATTCTTATACGAATCGCAGTTGGTGACATGGAGCTCAAAAATTAGTGATCATAATTCGTAATGCACTTTGGCCTAACTTTGAATGTAAAGCGTCATTGCCTGTTAATACAAGACATTACACAGCTAAAAGCTGTGTAAAGAATAAAGAATAACAAGGTAATGACAGTAAGACTCAGCTATAAATATATTCCATAATAATACATTTGCAGGTCAAAGAAGTAAAAAGGTCATGATTGTATGGCTCCATATGCAGCCATCAATGTATCTGTTTATACCGATATCTCGTCATGTTCAGCCTATCCTTACCTGGTTAGCAACGTGTTTACTTATAGCATTCTTAGCTTTGGGTCTATTAAACGTAAAGACAGTAATACCTGTTCGAAGTGATGGTGAAATAAGATCACTTTATAATCAATCAATAAACAAATCATACAATTTATTATCTACTCCAGGAAATTATGCTTAAATTGCTAACCTTCCTGATCTCCGCTTAATCTTTCAGCATAAAAGTCATCTTTTATTGCTTCTGAACGTAAGGAAGAGTAGCAACATTGAGCACATCTGTTGAATGAAGCTGCTTGGCCATCGGCAACTTTTGCAGGTAAAATCCTCCTACTGGAAAGCATCAACCCTGCAGAAAATCGACTAAACCGATGCAAACTTGCCATGTTATGATTCACCTAGCAATATTACAGTAATTACTATTTACGTTAGCAGAGTAAACTATAAAAGATCTCAAGGCTATCCAATGGCAAATAACAATATTTGTAGTTCGTAAACGGAGGCAAATGGCCTGCTGCAAGTGTTGCACAGTAGATCATCAACGACGACAGTATGACCTCTGAAAAGCCCTTGAGAATCTATACAAAGTAGTATACTCGTCCTACTGTAGTGCATTGTCTATAGCGCTTCATCACCGTACAGTATAGTAGCTCAGGCTCTCGTCGTCATCGTCGTGCTATCGGCATGAGAGTTAAGGCATAGAAATACGGCTCGCTGCAACGCTTCGTATTGCACAGTATGAACTACAGACTGCTACTGCGCACGGTACCTTAATGGCTCTCTTGACGCTGGGAGCCCAACTCCATGTTTACTAATTAATTAATTATTTAATTAATTCATTCGTCTGCAGTTCTCGAATCGACTTCTCCATTTCATCAACCTACGGATCCTATCCAAGGCAACCATGGCTGACCCAACGTCTTTTTCTAACTTTGATCAATGTTTAGTTTCCCATATGTCTTTAGACTGGAGTATTAACTTTGATACGAAAAGAATTGAAGGAAATGTTACCCTGGCAACTCAAGTAGTAGCAGATGATGTGTCGAAATTGGTAATATTGCTGAATGCTTCAATTACTGGTGGAGCAGTTTCGATGTGTATGATTGCAAATATAAATGTTACGATTACCTGAGTTGTAGTTAGAGAATTTTCCATATTGAGATATAATTCTATCTGAACTCAGTTATTATTACTTAGGTATAGTTTGATTGAAAGGCTTCTCTAACTATTTCACGATTAATGTACCATATTAGAAGTGTTTTGGGAATCAGCTCGGTTTGTCAATGTGACTAAATTTCCTGGCAAAATCGTTATTATAAAAATATTTCAATATTGCGATCAAATTTCAAGTAAATACTGTAATATAGTCCTGTAGAGACTCCAGTTGGCATTGCCCTGAAATCATAATGAAGCTCCGTAAAGTTAATGCAACCGATAGCAAACAATTACAGAATAAGATCATAATTATAATTAATCATTGTACTGTATACCGACGTAATCTAAGGTATAAATCAATCTTACTTCTGCTATATCCGTGACTGATGGTAGTAATAGGCTTATCCACTATGTAGATAATTTAATACAGGAATCCTAAATTTAACCCAAACTGGACTGACAAGTTATACAGCATTTATTTGGATAGTAGTTAGCTGGAGCGGTGCAAGCTTAGTTAATGGCTCAAGCCGAGACCCATCTAGTTGCTATGATAGACTGTGCTACGACCTACGGCAACATACGCTAGATCCATTATCTAACTTGCTAATGATAGTCTATACTGTAAGGGGATCACAACTCATTAATCTTTCCATCAATGTAAAAATATTTATATTATATTTATGTTTACCAAATTAATAGGCCTGTAGACATTTTACTGACAGAATTTACTCATTTATTTCTTCATTCTCGATATAGATCCTTGATACTCGTGATATAGCAGTAACTCGTATTTTTGATAATGACACGGGCAAGGATTTCAACTACAGCTTTACGGAAAATATTCCAGCATTAGGGACCGCTTTAGAAATTCAACTATCTGAAACAATCAGGTTTGCTATTACTCACGGATTTACGCGTATACAGATAGGTATTTTTAAAACCCAATTTAGAATTCCAAATGATCGGTAATAATTATCAGGGGCGCTAAAGCGAATATTTGCATTGAATACAAAACTGACCCCAACGCTTCAGCAATACAGTGGCTCGATCCTTTGCAAACTTCCGGCAAAAAGCAACCTTACATGTTTACTCAGTGTCAGGTAATTTGACTATGATGCTGCAAATAGGCCGAATAAAACGGTCTACGAGCATTAACTGTATATCATAATTTGATATCTACACGATAAACTTTATTGTAATGTTATACTGTAGGCAATACATGCGCGAAGTTTAGTGCCTTGTCAAGATGTTCCTGGCGTTAAAATAACCTATAAAGCAAAAGTAAGCAAGCTGCTCTTTGATACTCCGAATAAAACTTTTTAACGACATAGTACTAAGAATAATAGTATACTTTAAAAGTGATTAATTGCCATTTACGTAATTATACGAGCTCTAACCGAAGAATATCTTATTAATAATTGAGTAGCTCAATGTACCCTCAGGTCTCGTTGCTGTAACAAGTGCTATTCGCCGAGGAGATGAGATCGATACCAAAGATCCTACTAGGAAAATATTTTTTTCTGAACAATCGGTAATTGTATCGATTTCTAAATATATCAGTTTATTAGTTACTACGATTCGCCTTGTTATAGTACTGTATTATTCATAGCGGATAAGGCAATTTGTTCTCTATTAAATCAAATTTATACTTAAGGTAATATAATTATTATGTTTTTCTCATCAATCACCTTAATAAAATAAGGTTCCGATTCCAAGTTACCTGATTGCTTTAGCTGTCGGTGCATTAGAAAGCAGGTAATACGATGATTTTTATTATCTGATGAGAGTAGTATACTATATTTCAGCCTTATTTAGTCCCAGTTATAAGTTGCATATACGTTTACTTTGAATTTTAATTATGATGTCGTAGGAGAATCGGGCCAAGATCTCATGTATGGTCAGAAAAGGAGACCGTAGACGCTGGTGCTTTCGAATTTTCAGAGGTAAACTATAAAATTTTCTTATTTAAGCACCTATAAATTACTTCTTTATAGCAATCACTTTAATTAATTATCTTCTATACTTGTTAGACTGAGACAATGCTTAAAATAGCCGAGGACTTACTAGGGCCATATTTATGGGATCAGTATGATTTACTACTTTTACCACCATCATTTCCTTATGGAGGAATGGAAAACCCTTGCCTTACATTTGTTACACCAACTTTACTGGTACAGTACTTATCTATGTACTAAGGATATGTATAATTACTGTACAATTATAGAAGCAATAATACACGGTATAGAACGATTAATAATAACGGAAATGTGTAAAGATAAACTAGATCGTTACTAATAATTACTATGGTCCTTTATAATTACGACAGGCTGGCGATAAATCTTTAGCAAATGTAAGTACTTTTCAATTATAAATATTATCACTCTTCGTTGTTTGTATTTGTTAACGTATCTATGACATACGACTGTAACCGTACGCGTATAAATTGTGTATAAAATTAACGAATGTAAATAAAAGGTAATTGCACATGAAATCGCTCACAGTTGGACAGGCAATCTAGTAACTAACGCATCTTGGGAAGATTTTTGGTATGTATGTACTTTATTAAGTATTATACTTATTAATTAAATATTACTCCTATAGCGGATTTTAGTTACGAATGACGAAATTTTAATAATTGGTATAATTGAACAGGCTGAACGAAGGTCATACAGTATTTGTAGAACGTAAAATTGCCGGTCGAATGTTTGGAGAAAAGATGAGGCAGTTCGCAGCTATTGGTACGTAAGTATAATTGTGTTATGATCTCAGCTCTGATATTTGTAGGATACATGCAAAAGTGGATTAAATTGAATAGTAGTAAAATATTCAGCAATCCTTAATTATAACTCAATTCATTAATTTAAGGTGGATGGAAAGATCTGATGTATAGTGTAAGTTTTATCTTATTGTGTAAGCCGACACATTAAATCTTTAATTTTAAATCATTTCTTTATACTTAATCATGGTATAGTGCTGACTTTAGTTCTATTAATGTTTATTATCAGGTCAAGAGATACGGAGATAATCATCCATTCACGGCACTTGTACCTAAATTAGACAGAATAGATCCTGATGATGCGTTCTCCAGCGTTCCCTATGAAAAAGGTTTTGCACTCTTGTATCACTTAGAGCAAGTTGTCGGAGGTCCAGAGGTGTTCGAACCTTTCCTTAAGAGCTATATTCAGCATTTTAAATACAAATCATTAAAGACTTCGGAATGGAAAGATTATCTATTCTCTTACTTCATTGATAAAGTGAGAGTGCCATCTCGCAGTGAATTTTTTTAGGAATTAAAATTAAAATTTTTTATGTTAAGTGTAACGAAATTGTTAAACTTTATAAGGACACTCAAGATGCTCTCGCGAAAGTCGATTGGGACGGCTGGATAAACAAACCCGGAATGCCTCCTACTACATTAGAGTAAGTTTTAGTTTATATTCGTTAAAATATTCGGTTGAATTGTTAACACTACATTTAAATTGTATAGTTATTAACTTAATAGTTATAATTTGCAGATATGACACATCATTGGCCGATGCTTGCACAGAATTATGCAATCGTTGGTTAAAGGTAATAAAATAGAGATGTAGATTTATAGTCAATGAACGATCGCGTTAATTTCTAGAACAACCTGTACATAGGCATCGGAAGAAGAACTGGAATCCTTTAGTAGTGATGATATTAAAGACTTTTCTTCTCCTCAAGTAATCGAATTTCTTTCCAAATTACTTGTTGAGGTAATATTTCTCTGCGTTACAACATGTTTACGAGTATGTAAGGAATGATTTAGTTTTGTTAAATGTAGATACACTTATTTAAAATGTAGGCACCGATTACAGTTAAGAAGGTAAAAGCAATGGATAAAGCATATTCAATGGGTACTCGCATCAATTCAGAAATTCGTTTTAGGTAGATTGTAAATTGCAAATATTTTTATGTACGATAATCACATCGACTATAATGTCGTTATTTTATTATAGAATAGAAGGTATTGGAGTTTACGCTTAGATCATTGATTTTTGTGTTCAATGTAATTTTACTGATTGCACTGTAAATGTTATTATTTGTTACTAATATTACTAAAATACATGTGGAATTACATAGATGGCTGCGGATTTGTGTACGAGGTGGTTGGGAGAATTCCTATTCTGTAGCTTGTTCATTCATAACTGAACAGGGTCGCATGAAATTTGTTCGACCATTATATCGGTAATACGCGTATGATATGTAATACTTGTGATTTATTAAAATTTGCATGCTATACTAAGACTTGGCTGATTATATTATGAACGTGTTTAGGGATCTGTACAATAATGCAGCTTCTCGAGATCTAGCCAAATCGACTTTTGGTCAAAATTGCAATTTTTATCATAATATAGCATCGAAGATGATTGCCAGCGATCTACAAATGTAACTACTGTACGCATAAATGGCCTTATTGCATTCGTTAGTAAAGTACTAGCAATTATGGCATTAAGATTACTCTTTACATTTAATTATGTACTAACTAAGAGAATGTTTCGAGCGCAGTAATAGACTATCCAACGTTTTATAGTGCTATGATTAGTATAATAATACGACTTAGATATGATATAAGAGTCATTATATAATTTGTATTAAATTATTAGATGTTAAAAAATAAATCTTTTGTTTTAGTGTTTAGTACAACGAGAGATCCATGCTGTCAGATAGTGCGAGTATGATGTAATTATAAAGCAATATTATCATTTTAATAAAAGTAGTACATTATCTTCAGTTATGTTTATTAACGTAGATATCTACGATCACCTCACATATTTGTGGATTACGATGTGATCGCTTATTGACTGTAGCTGAAAAGCAGTTATTGTTTATTCCAATCTATCAATCTTCAATTAATTATGCAAAAATGGACTATAGGCAGCTTGAGCTAACGCCTACGGCATCTAACTACAACTGCAAAACTTACTTATGTCATTTCGAATAATATCTCAAATGCTAGATGCATAGAATTGAATCACATATCAAGGAACGATATCTGCACTATCAGGAACACTTTTGCTCTACTAGAAGACTACACAAAGACTTAGACGCCTCGTATTTTACTTTAAACACTAAGTTTAAGAATTAACTTTATTACGCGATATATTGCATTTATATACTCTTCCTCAATAGTTCATGAGTCATAGTTAGTACGATAAACTTTGGAATCATTCACTGAATTAGACATTAATTTTAGCTACTGCTCCCTAATGCAGACAACTGTATTTACGAATATAGACATCTGATGACCAATACAGAATAGTTAGATTACGATACGTCCTATCACGGAACATTTCCACGATAATTTACAATCTACCATAAGCAAGTTACAATCACAATGATTAGAATTGTAAGTAGATAATTCGCATTCCCTAATATAACTATTAATTTCAGTATATGTATATATGTCACTGTCATATAAAGCCAGTGCTATATTAAAACACAGTATATCCAAATTAGAAATTAACCAAATAAGGATAAGCTAACAAAATTATCCTAACATAGATATTTCTACTCTAATACAGTATATAACACTGTCACAGTAACTAAGCTGTAAGTAACGTGATTTTTTTACCTTCCTTCTACAGCCATGGAATGAGAATGCGTAGAAATTATACTCGCTATTTCTCGCTAAACTATTGAGGAAATTGATTGATTTACAATTAATTAAATTTTTTACTAACGATAAAAGAGTTAGCATAATATAGTTTTCGAACTACTGTATGTGTATTACGATCTAGTTGTATTGTATTTTCAATGATATACAACAGTAATACATTCTTGAAGCACGAATTTTAGATGTTATGTAGTAGGTTAAAATTTACTATTACTGATAAAAATATTTATTATTTGTAATAGAATAAACCTAAACTATAGCTTCTTTATTAGTAAAGATTCAGTAAAAATTCAAAATTGGTAAATTATGCTTAATGATGTACAAACTATGAGTAATAGAATTCTGTAATATAGAATACATGGGGTGATTGCACAAGTTCCCATGCATTTTGAACATAATTGAACTCATGATAGTTTACTAATAAAATCAGTAAATTGTTTTCTCTGAAAATTAAGCTTACAAAAACTGAATTTATAGGGTAGATATTACAGATTAGAATTAGAACGCATAAATTTATTCATAGCTTCTATTTTAATAATTACTGATATTGAAAATGTACTCTGAAATAGCATATAACGTATGAATAAGGGTTTCAATAAAGTTTAGTGATTCAACAGTTAAGCGTAATGTAATTAAGGGTCGGTATTTCTTTTTATTAGGCGCCGTTTAGAGATCAATTTTTAAAATGATGTTACGATTAGATGTTAAAAAGTTAATTAAGTACCGATGCTCAGCAACGAACTAAGCAAATACCGTTCTTAGTTTACCTTTTATTTATCTATGTTACATACTTTGAGTAGGAAATAGGATATAATCCGTTATTAGTTACATTAATGGATTATAATTATTTACAAAATTAATGATGAGCCTAATTGCTTCAGCTATGCGTACGAATGCAAAGGAGCCACGTGCAGTAGCTAAGTAATAAAAATAGGAAGACATAAAATATTTATTTTTTGTCATTTAGTAAACAAAATAGGACATTTACGTCTATGAAATTGGCAAAAATGAACCTTTTTTGCCTGGTGATAAACGATGAAAAGTGAATATTATGTTAATTCACTAGAACTGACGATTTGCTTTACATTTACTGTATAGGTAAAACCGAGAGTACTAACAATTTTTAAGTGAGTTCTTGACACCTCGTGGATTGTACAATGATTTTTTCATATACAATCCGTTATTAATAGTTAGGTCTTGAATTGGTTTACGAGAAATGTTAAATTTATTAGTGTTTGATATATAAAATGATTCTAAAAGTAGGATGAAATGCATAAGATGACTAGTTTCCATTTGTAAAATGAAGTTTTCCGTAAATTGAGCCGTGGAATCTCATTTCATAAGCAATATAGTCAAATATTTTAGATGATTAACTGTTTATTCCATCACCTAATCTTTTTTTGTATAGTGCATGCTAATTTTACAATATAGTAATAATGATGTCATATATTTTAGCTGATGAAGGTTGATTGGTCAAGGTTGTATCAGACGAAATAAGTATTGTATGCATAAGATGCATTCATTTACATATCAAGTTAACTTATGAAAAAAATAGCATGAGTGGGACAGTAAATTAACTCCTCCTACTCATTTACAGTCTTTCTACTATTAGAATTTAAAATTCTTTGTCAGTAAGAGTTTATAAACTAAATAAGTAGCCATTTAATCTTACGTGACAATTTCAATTTTGCCATGCCATTGGTAGGTGTGTTTTTTACCGCGGTAAACAGGCATTCTATTTTTTGCGGAAGATTCCAGTAAAATGGCTAAAAAGCAAATAGATAAAAGATGATTGCTTAGTCTCAGTGATTGTTGGTATCTGTGAATAGGTAGTGATAAAAGTTTGAATATAGCAGCTAATAGAAGTTAGTTGAAATCTTTGGGATATAATCGTAAAAAGAGATCAACACATTTAAACCTATATCGTCTCTATTTTAGCCTTCTGCTTTCACATGACCAATGTTATTGCCTACGCTCAACTAATGCGTGGTCTATTATCTCTATATTTATTACTTCATTTTGATATGCTAAGATACTACCGGTATGTAGTATTCTATATTCAATCGAAAATAGCAACACCCATATTAGAGGCTAAATTAATGTCTCAAATTAACTTCAATTTCAAAGAACTACAACTGCATTTCATTCTGAACCAATTGGATTGTTTTCTCACTGATGCATCGTATCTTGCAATCAATAGAAGTAGCATGTTGTTTTTAGCGATTAATATGCATTCCTTTCCCGTTCAGACTCCTTAATTGCAATCCTGATTCTTAATTAACGGAATGAATTTATTTCCTATAAGATATAGAATTCTATGTCTGATTCTGACTGGCTTTCGCAAGTATTAATTCAGATTACTGTTTATATTCTATTACATTATGTAATGCATGAGCGTTTGCTCTGTAAATAAATATGACATAGCACATTAGCATAGTCTCAATAACTTATTCAAATTAAATAACTAGGATCGAAGTCTATTTAATTCTTTAGTTGTACTTTGTGTTATTCAGATAGAATCTATAGAAAAAGCTATACATGACAAGAAATATAGCATTACGTAATGCTAAAAGAGTCTTAAGGTAGGCGAGTTTTGTGGAAAAAAAAACTCGTGTATCATCCTATATTTTTAATGCCGTTGAGGCAACTAAAATACGATCATTCAGTATAATCTATGTATGATTATAATTAGGTGGATTAAGGAAAATTTTTCCTTAATAAATCCTTAACAATTGTTTATTATAACTTGGATTGAGCATGGCAAAGCAAATGGTCCATGCTAGCTATAAAAAAACAACAAAGTTTTCAAATCACGACCTCTTACAGGTGTTTACTTGATCACATATAACAGACATTGTATAGGCAATCATACATAAGTTAGAAAGCAGAATATCAAATTGCAATATGGTAACTGGCAAGGCGAATGAGTAAAAACGAGGCAGTAGAATATCAAATCAGATTAATTACGACAACAGCACTAGCAACTGCGTGGTTGTTCATCAACGTAAGAATGTTTTACGGAAAATTATTAACTTTTCTATTATTTATCTGGCAATTTTCAATAGACATAGTATCAATTAGGGGGTCATTTGTGGTGTTATGAAATGATAGAATATATATTAATGTAACGTGATTGGTTATGCTTCTAAATAATAAGCAGGAATTAACAATTTACCCAATGGATTCATGAGAACAATGATGGCTCTTAGCTCATGATGGCCGTTAATGTTCATAAAGCATCTATTTAATTACTGTTACTAAATGATGAAGATCAACATCTCCGTAAATACATATTTAATTAAATAATTATTTCAACCGTAAAATGATGACAATAAAAGCTTGTCATTCAAACTAATAGCTATTATATTCGATGCGCTCGACTATCTATATAAATAGCAAGTTTTCCGAATTGCCAGGTTATTTCAGCAGCGATCAGATTAGTGAATCTCTCCTATCGGATTGTGATACAATTTGACATTATTGGTTCGTCTAGAACTTGCAAATTTTTCGTTTATAATATGCATGAGACTAATTATTTATTATAGGCAAATTACGGTTTAGGTTTTTATATTACATCATTTTCTAAATTTATTTGATTATTCATGACTTTTGGATGATTTAAACTACTGTTTATCTTATGTAAAATTTATATAAAAGCCGTAACACCCTTCCATTTTTAAACAGATCTTTAGCATTTTTCATTATTGCAAAATCCATCTACTTAAAAAACAAACCGTCATACCTAGCTATTTGCAAATCATTTATCACGGCACCTTGTCCAAATTAAAGTAATTTGCAAACTAGTTATCGTTCCGTTATTATCGTATGGATAGAATTAGAACCTATAGTTATTACAAGGCTTGATAGAGCAGAAAATTATTTTGCAAATATCTCAATTTTTGTTGAATTTGTGTGCGAGTATATTTTTTGCTAGTGTCTATAGATAGGCATTAATTTGTATGTTACGAGGTCACTAAAATAGAATAGTGAAGATGTGCTTAGTATGACTAAGATAGACAAAACCTTAATTATATCATGAAATTTTAACTACAGTATTATATATAATGTGGTTTTTTAATTTAAATTTTAGAATTTTCTTTCAAAATGGCTCGTTTACTTCTTGCACCAACTTATGCAGTGGTTCTATTAGCATTAATTATAACAGTTAAATCGGAAACCACTGGTCAACATGAATTTCATGCATCCTTGGATGAGGATTTAAAATATTTGCTCGATTGGACTTTTGATAATAATAAGAAAACCATGACATTTACCGTAAGAGTGAAGACAACGGGTTGGATAGGATTTGGAATTTCGCCTTATACTGGTAAAATGCCTGGATCTGACATTGTTATTATGTGGGTTGATAATAATGGCAAAGTCTACTTACAGGTATTAAAAATAAGCTACAAGTTTCATTCTGCTTGACTGAAATTTATAGCTGTTTACCTATTTCTGGGTATGTATACCAATCATTTTACATATTTTAACTTTAGGATCGATTTGCGGAAAGCAGATCATTACCGGTATTGGATAGCAGTCAAGATTATTACATTGTATCAGGTTACGAGAGGAATGGTACAACAACGATTAAATTTTGGAGAAAATTTAATACTGGAGATCCTAAAGACCTGCTATTAGATGTAATTTCCTATTTTAAAAAATATTAGACTGTTGAGTTCTTTTCACTCTCTGAGCAATCCTTTTTATTAAATACACTTAAATACCTTTTAATATAGACTGGAACGACTCGGTTAATATGGGCTTATAATGCACAAGATCCGCCGGCTACTACGAATATTCAAATTCATGATAAAATGGGTGCTCGTAGTCTGAATTTATTCGAGAGAATGCCTGAAAATGATAAACCTTCCATGCCATCGGATGTGCAGACTCATGAATGTCGTGTACTAAATGTAATTAGCTAAAAAAATCATAACGAGAGATCTCTTTATGCTTTCATTTATTATAAAATTTGTCTCACTTTATAATTTATTGTCCTGTCATCACAATAAATCTTTCTCCATATCGATATAGGCTACAATTCCAGCCAGAAAAACGGCGTATTGGTGTGTAGGCTCAAAATTACCAGATCTAACTAGTAAACATCATATCATTAAGGTGGGCCTGTTAACTGTAGATTTGGTCACTACAATGCAATAAGAAATCTTGAATTGTGATCCCCTATTTTATGAAACCCGCAACCTCAGTATCTTATTACCTTTGATATTTTTAATGAAGATTAGCTAATACCTACTTAGTTAAGCGGTATTTGTAATCAAATTACATTTCTTTTTCAATATTCAAAGATAAAATATACCATTCTTCAATATGTATAAATCTAAGTACTAGAAAACTTTGAGTAGGACCAACACAGAGAAAACTATTACATTTTAAAGTACAGACATTCAAAAAATTAGCTATACTACTATTAATTTAACAGGAATTATCCAAACAGCTAACTAACAGTAAATTCACTTACTGCAATGATTCTCTTACTTTAGATTGAGCCAATCATTACGAAAGGCAATCAAGGAAGAGTCCATCATATGATAATGTACGAATGCCCAGCTAGTCCCGACTGGCATGATTACAGTGCTGATTGCGATACCGAAAATATGCCAATTGCTTTAAGATATTGTCGTAGTGGTGCTCTTGTGGCCGGTTGGGCTGTCGGTGGTGAGGTAAGGAAAATAGAGTTGGCACTAGAAGTTGGAAAGGCTGCCACTGCGGCTTCTAGTGAGATTATTTGACGATATATCTCCTAGAGTTGAATTTACTGCTTCTTGCAATAAGTGTCGATCGATTCCGTATAGGGTATTACTTTCCCGAAAGATACCGGATTTTCTCTCGGTGGAAAAGATGATCCTAAGTTTACTGTTATTGAAATGCATTATGATAATCCAGAGGAAAAAGCAGGTATCTGAAATTGTCCATTTTAGTTATACTTTCTTGCAGTTAAAAGCGCCTGGAATTATAATAATTTTTTATTTAAACTAAGATTGCAGACTTTTCCTGCTTTATATGTATTCCATCTCACGAGGTCCTTTTTATGTAGGTATTGTTGATAATTCCGGCTTTAGAATCTATTATACGAAGCAAATTCGCAAGTATGATATCGGAGTCTTAACTCTTGGCCATCTTATAACTGCTACTATGGCCATTCCGGAAAAGCAATCGAGCTGGAATATTACTGGTTACTGTCCTCAATTTTGTACTGATAGGGTATGTGTAACTCTAGATTCTAGCTGCATAACAAATTATTTTTTGTGATAATTTTAGAACCCCTATTTTTGTAGTTTGAGTTGATAATCAATTACTTGCCATCAAATAAATTTAGGGATTCATATAATTATTGATAAGTATAAAAATGGTATTAATTATATCTATATTTATCTACTACGTTGCAAAAAATTTTTAAATATTGCTTCAATCTTGACTTAATCTTAAGTGTGAAATAATTTAGTCGGTATCTAATAAGTTATGTATATTTATAGGTTTTATAAATCTTAGTATCAATGTTAATTTTATTGGTTCTAATAAGCTATATATTTTATAGGCTTTGTACAATCCTGGTATCAATATCTTTGGAGTATTCTTTCATACCCATCTTGCAGGTATGGTATATCTTATTTTAGCCGGATAAATTGTAATTTACGATTAGATTTTCTCACCATTTCGTAAAATCAAGTCATTTTTATTGTTTTACTTACTGAAGACAGTTTTTGTTCTTTCATTCCTGTTCACTATCTTGTTGTAGGTATCGCCTTATCCACTAGACACTTTAGGAATGGCAAAGAATTGCCAGCGATTGCTGTCAACAAACATTACGACTTTAATTATCAGGTAAAAGCTAATGTCTTGTACAGTTTTTACTTTATAAATACTATAATTTTAAGATGGCCTACAATGCAAAAATTTATTAGATATAAAAATTTGTATCTTACTAGTCGGGAATAAAAGAAACGGAATATAATATTAAGGGAGTGAATATGTTTATATCTATATCTTTACTTGTCGTTATTCTATTGTAGGAAATAGTATACTTAAAGAACAATGTGATTGTCTCACCGGTAAGTTTTATTTTCTTTTTCCAGATTACCTATTAGAGCACTAAGTATGTCATGCTACTAAAACTAATGACGACCATTTGACTCTATAGGGTGATTCATTGGCCCTAACTTGTACTTACCAGACGAAAAGCCGTCCTAACGTCACTGTGGTATGTAAAAATTAAACTTTGATTAAACTATCTCAAAATAGCGTATACAAACTACAACCATAATTAAAATTTTTCTACATTTGTATCTGAATCAATTTTAGGGAGGTCAAGCAACAACTGACGAAATGTGCCTGAATTATCTGTTCTATTATCCTAGAGCACCACTAGCAGCATGCTTTAGCTATACTGGTTATGATACTTTGACACCATACTTTGGCAAGCTAATGAAGTAAGCGATTCTCCTTACAAAAAACATGATAAATACAACGTATGCAACCTTAGGATATAGTTGTGCAATAAAACTAATAAAATATGTATTTACGTAGTGGAATAACGTTGATCGATTAGGAAAAATGATAATTTAACAAAAGTAGAATTTTAGACAAAATTTGGGTTTAAGATAGACATCATAAATAATGATCATTTATGCTATCATAGACAAGGTGTAATGCCTCCACCAAGGTATAATGGAAGCTATGGCATTGCCAGGTCATTGCAAAAAACTACTATTGGGAGCCAGAA